TCTTTGCCCCTTACTGAGGTTTACACTTGAGTTGCAAGTGAATGTTATGTTTCATTTACGCTTAATTTTTTTCCAATTCTATGAATTGAATTCCCCAAGAGTGTTGTCTTTGTGGACTGGCAACTTTGAGTTTTTCTTTGCTATCGTCATCAAAGATGTATGTTATGATACAGTATGTCTTTTATATCTTTTGTTCTAGCTGTCTAGTTGTCAGATAAGTTAACTGTAACATTAGTTACACGAGTAAGATGGCTGTAAGTCAATTAGGAAAATTTAATAAATTCACATAAACATCTAAAAAATCTAAAACATCAACATTTTTAGGTTTGTAAAAGTCAATAAGACAATCGAAGTACACTGTTAAGATTAAAAATAACTTTTTTTCTGAGCCTCCCAATGTAACATCTCTGCCTTTTACTCAGCTGCATCCCCAAAAATGGATTTGTTTCTTGATGCCTTGAGGGACAGAGGGATACCTGAGGAGAACCTTGAGAAAATGTTGCATGACAAGGTAACTCATATCTGAACAAGCCTGTCAGAAACATATAAATCAAAACTCCCACTTAAATAAGACATACCTGGTTAGATCACCTGTCTTAATCTCATATTCATGTTAATACAAATTTGGGCCCAAATACCAATAGCGGCAAAGACCCTTTTACAAGTGAAGGGATTCTGTTTCCTTTTTCCATATACATTGCATTTTGGTGAGCCCAAAAATTCTTCAAAACTATCCTGAGAATTAAGATAATAGATTATTTTTGGGCCACATATTAGACACAGTAGGAGAAGGTTATTTATCACTACTGAGTGCTCAAAACTATTCCTTTTGACTTTTATATTGTCCAAAACATTCAGATGATGATGAATAATGAGGCTGTGACTACAACATATCCTGACGTGCACAGGGGTTCAAGGACTCATTCAAGGCTTGAAGTTTTAATTTTTTGTTTTTGTTTTTAACCGTGGCAGGTGGACCAAGATGTTGCCATGATGATGGATGAAGAAACCCTGTCAAAGTATATTCCTCATTTTGGAGACCGTGTATTTGCCAAAAATTGGACCAGCTCATCCTCAGCAGTAGCTGGGACCAATGCAGAGAAGAAAAAGATCCTTATAGAACGCTTACGATCTAAAATGAAACTACCAAGCTGCAGTCAAGCATCAAAAAGCTCTGCAAGTCATACTCGCCAAGGATATGGTTTGGCAAACAAGAATGCTGAGCGAAAAACAAGGAAAATAGAACTGGGTTGGATGAATTATCAAAATGGTTATTTCAGGCAGGTGAGGAGACCAACAGGTGGAGGCACAAGAGAGATAATTGCCAGGAAAGATGACACTATAAAGAAAATTTTAGAGAATGGGAAGAAAATATTTTTCCCCAATGGGAAATCTCCAAAAGGAAGAGCTGACGACTTTGACTTTACCATGTGTGTTATGGGCTCAGAGGAACCCTTACTTGGCACAGTCACAATTGGGAAGTTGTATGAAACAACTCATCATCAAATACTCAGGTTGTACGTTTGTTCAAAGAAAAGAGGAAGTGATGAGTCAGATTCAAGTGACTTCTCGGTACCAGTCGAAACACCAGATAGATCCCAGACAACAGATTTGACAGAGAGATCTCAGACAGTACAGGCTCTCAACTCACTACATCTTCCTCCCACATCTTCCTTTGATATCACGTTACCTCATTCTTCTTCCACCTCACTGACCTGGGAAAGCCCTTTGTCTAGCTCCAGCCCTGTCATGCATGAAAGTGGGCCGATATTAAATCAGTCCCTTGATGAGGAAGTCATTTTCCTTGGTGATGATGGAAACCCTTCCATTGATGTTATTTGTGACACAGTGGTTTATGAGCCCTCTGCTTCTGAGGAGCTTGAATCAGATGATGTACCAACTGACATTGAGCATTATATGACTGAAGTGACAAGTTCCATCCCTTCACCCAAAAACCATGTGTCACGATCGCTGAGCACTGGGAGTGAATCAGCAACACTTGAAATCATAAATCAGGAAGCATGTTCTGACCACACTTCAACAACCTCATCTGCAAATAACTTTGAGAATTTCTTTGACAATCCAGAAAACATTGTTGAGAAACAGGTCATTACTATTCGTGCAGTGGATTGTGTTTCTGACATGATTCAGGCATTTTCAAATGAGAATATACTAGATGCCAACATTGAATTTAGGCGCATAATGCAAAGTGGTGAGATGGAGACTGGAGTTGGAAGTGGCCTTGTTAGGGACTGTCTTACTGATTTTTGGAACACTTTCTATACATCAAGAACCTCAGGAACCACATACAAGATCCCCAACTTATATCATGCTTTTCAAGAAAAGCAGTGGAAAGCTGTTGCCCGGATTGTAGCCTTTGGCTGGCAGAGATTTAAATACTTGCCTATTCAACTAGCGCCGCCATTTCTTTATGAAGTCCTTTCCGTGTCATGGCCTAACTGCAACCTAATGGAGACGTTTTTCAACTATATTAGCCCTACAGAGAAGGATGTACTTTTGGAGGCTTTGAATGACTTCGAGGGAGCCGATATGGAAGAGCTGCTCACCATTCTTAGCAGCCACAACTGCTCCACTCTCCCTACAAAACACAACTTACAAAGATTGCTGGAAGAAATTGCACACAAAGAGTTGGTCCAACAGCCAGCATTCATAATAAAGTGCTGGAAACCAGTCCTGGAAAGTATTGGAAAGTCTTTGAGTGGTGGAGTGTTGGACAAGATCCTCTCTGATCTTCAGCCAAAGGCAAGAAGTGTCACAAAATACATTAACTTTCCAGAATCATTGTCACCAGCAGAAAGGGCCACCTCTCATCATCTCCTGAGATTTGTCAGAGAACTTGAGCAGAGAGAGCTTGGTCTGTTCCTTCGATTCTGCACTGGATGTGACCTTTTTTTATCTAAAACCATTGAAGTTGCCTTCACAGACACCATCATGTCTGAGGTCTGCAGACGTCCTGTGGCCCACACCTGTACTTGTCTCTTGGAAATTGCCACCAACTACAGCACTTATTCAGATTTCAAATCTGAGTTTCTTTCTGTCTTGCAAAGTGGTGTGTGGGTGATGGATATGATATAAAAGTGACAAGTTAAGACAGTGTTATGAGGACCATATGTTACGGTCTATCCAGAAATTATAGTTTTCCGGTTTTGCTTTTATGCAGCTTCATTTGACTAGCACCGGGTTCTGGCTTTTTTTTGTCAAGAACTATTCAGTTTACCTTCACAGACACCATCATGTCTGAGGCCTGCAGCTAGCCTGTGGCCCCAACTGCACACGTGTCTTGGAAAGTGCTCCCAACTACAGCACTTTTTCGGATTTGAAGTCAAGAGTTACTTTCTGTCTTGCAAAGTAGAATATGGGGGATGGATATCGTCTAAAAAGGGTATGTGATAAGGTAAAGACTGTTATGAAGATTATGTGTTATGGCGTATGCAAAAATGACAGTGGCGGCCCAAGCATTTCAGAGACTAAAACATATTTTTCTTAGAGGGATGCAGCTTAATTTTAATAACAAGCTGTTGCCAATTTCATAGTTCTTATGTTGTGATGTACACAATATTGATGAAATATTTTTGTATTCTGTTTTGTATCAAAATTATATGTACTTAACTGTTTCAAACTTAAGTACCTCTTGAATCTTATTTTACAGTAAATGAAATGTTTACATTTCATAACCAGAGCTCATGTTTTTTCCCAGTTCTGCTTTTACGCAGCTTCATTGGAATAACAAGTTCAACAATTTCATAAGTCTCATGATGTGATGCACACAATGTTGATCATATATTTTTGCATTCTGTTTTGCATCAAAATGATTTCTATTAAACTGTTTAAAACTTAGGTACCTCTTGAATCTTATTTTACAGTAAAACCACATTAAATATTTTGTATAGTATGTTGATATGAATACTGATTTATTGTCTTAACCATATGGAATTAAGGGGACCAGTGGGATTGTGGTTACTTGCTTAGAGTGGCTGCCTTTACTTAGCAGCTTTTATGCTGTTTTGAGAATCTTTAATAAATGCTCATTCAAAAGTATAGTTAGCTAGGTCTAGGTGTAAATAACACGTTCTGTACATAGTTAATCTTTTTAAAGAAATATTTGTATTTATATTTAAAAATAGTTCAACATTAGCAGGTGTCATGTCATGTTCCATTTCAAATTGTACATTTCTCAAATAGCAATGTTATTGAATCATGATAGGAATTTGACAGTGGAATAGTTTCAGCTCCACTTTAATCAAAAGTAGGTGCCTTGGATAAGGTATAAAGTAATGCTGTGGCCATCACACAATCTCCAAACAGTCAAAAGATAAAATCTCTTGGCTGACATCTCTCTGTAGACATTTTAAACCATCCATAGAACCTTCTTCCGCTTTATCTGGGGCTGGCTAGCAGGGGCAGCAGTTTAAGCAGGAATAACCCGACTTCCCTCCTCCCAGACACTTCCTCCAGCTCTTCTGGGGGGATCCCAAGGTGTTCCCAGGCCAGCGGAGACACATAGTCCCTCCAGTGTGTCCTAGGTCTTCACCGGGGCCTCTTCCTGGTGGGACATGCCCTGAACACCTCCCCAGGGAAGTGTCCAGAGGGCATCCAAACTAGAGGCCGGAGCTACGTCATCTGGCTCCTCTTGATGTGGAGGATCAGTGGTTCTGCTCTGAGCTTCTTTCTTTCCTCTAAAAAAAGAGCTGACATTTGAAACTCTACATATAACTTAATATCCAGCAATTATTTGACGTTTTTGTTTTTTAAATGTAAAGCAGAAAATATGACCTGATCAAGCACTGATCCAGTAAGGTACACAACATCTCTGCTTACTGGATTGTGTCTTGTTAGACACATGTATTTCATGTTCTTTCAGCAATTTCTATTTCTGCAATGATGTAGTAATTGACACCCTTGAAAAATAGCACTCACATAACCAAGAGAGTAAATGAGAGTATGAGTGCAAAAACATACACCTTGAAATTTTAATGAAAAATAATGCAATTTGCACCTGAGCATAATAGTGTTAAGTCATGTACAATGTCTTAAAGTAAATGCAGGTCTGTCAGGTACATTTGAATCTTTACTGAAAAAAAAGCACAAATATTTTCTTAAATAAGAAAATGCAAACAATCCAGATATTCAAAATCAACATGTGTTCATTATGTCTTCCCCCTGGCAATCTCAAGAACTCCTTGAGGCTCACTTCGACTTAAGGATGGACTGATTTCATTTCGGTGGTCAAAGGTCAAGGTCACTGTTACCTCACAAAACACATTTTTGTCTGTCACTAAAAAAATTATCAACTGATGATCGCTAACTTTTAAACAAATGTTTGATTGGAGGTTCATGGAGGTATGCAACCCCATGGTGGCAATTTTAGCTTACTGATGTGTCCATTGATGTTTTGTGCAAAACTAACATCCTGATAAGAAACAATCAGAAAGCAAATACATGAAAAACATTGGGAACTGGGGCGTTAGCAAATTCAGAACTATTCTGGCTCTGACAGATGTACTCTTATCAAGGGCCTCAGCTGTCTGTACAGTCTGGTTGCCTCAACAGCATCATGGCCAGTCCGAAGATTATGCTCTGCCATCACTAAAACAATGAGCTCGTACAGATCTGGATCACAGACAATCTCAGTTTTCCAAAGGCAGACCTCTTCTTCTAATATGATGTCCAGTCTTTCAAAGTCCACTGGATGGAGGTAGTCCTCTGCCTGGTAGAGTTCTGGCACATGATACATGAGAAAAGGTTTCCCATGAAACAAGTCATGTCCAGTAGAACCTGGTCGGATCCGGTGGGTGTTCCACATCGTCACCACAGTGTCCAATTCCTTCTGTAAAATAAGACAAAATAAGAGTGAGTGATTGACACTTTGAGAGAGAGAGAGAGAGAGAGAGAGAGAGACAGAGAGTGAGTGATTCTGGTTACCTGAATGACATCTAGAAAACAGAACTGAATGAGGCCCTTGTCAACCATATCCCCATTGAAGTCGCCCACTGACTGGAACTCCTGGAACAAGTTTCTCCAGTAATCTGCATTCTGTCTCCGATAGTGTCCCCACCAGTTTTCAATCCTTTGATTTGCAGTACTTCTTCCTTGGAGAACACAAGGCCCATGCACTGTGCCATTTTCATCCTCACGCAGAAAATACTGTAATCTATTGACATGTACATTCTCAGTACCAAGATCAGATCTGATTATTTTCGGACAACCCCCACACTCACTAACAGCATTAATAAAATAAGCTGCAACAACCTCCGGTTTGCTGTTTGTAAAGTTTGCTTGCATCCATATGACATGTCGTGAGAAGCCATCAATGCAGCCATTTATTCCAATGCCAAACGGTGTGAGTTTATCGTAGGAGTCCATGTGCCAAATGTAATTTGGTCCCGGGACACTGTAATGCCTTCTTCTGAGTCTCCTCCTTCTTCTCTGTTGTGTACCTTCGGGGTCCAGAACAGACTGCACTTCATACACCAGGTTTCTAGCGACCCGCAATCCTGCTGATCTGCATCGCTCAGTCATCATCCGATAGCCATGCAGTCGTCCAGGACCAGATAGCTGGTCAGCTATGTAGTTTACAACAACATCAGGCGCACTTTGATTGCGCCGCCGATAAAGTTGAAGCCTTGCTAGCAGTCTTCTTAGATGACGTACACTAATGTGTACATTGTGTCGAGTTGCAAGGCATAAAGCTATTTCAGTCTGTGTAAGGCCTTGATTAAAAAGATAAGTGATGTGGTCGTCAATATTCTCCTGCTCTTCTGGCATAGTCACAATGGCATTAAGGTGCAGACGTTGGGCTTACCAGAGGAAAACTGAAATCGAGAACCAAAACAAGGAGTGTCATTGTCACAGTTGTCAATAAAGGATGCGGGACTGTCAGCTATTAATCATCGGCGGATTAGAAATGTACGTCTTCCAAGGTGGAAAACGGGGGACAGTAAAACTCTGTGTTGTAACCACACGTAACACAGCGGGAATGTCACTACAAGAGATTCAATCGTGTTTTCTCGGCAATAGAATCAGCCTGTATATGCAACGACATGATAAAGTCCAACTGTACACCACGCTTCGATAACTCCTTGTGCCTCTAGTAGCCTATTTAGCATAAACAAACAACAACTGTGACAACTTTCGGGTCAGAAACAAGAAAAATCAATGGAAATGTGTGTGCGTGAGGGAGCCTCACGCACACACAAATACAGGCAGCACTGTTCCGTCCTGTACCGAGGTTAAGTTTGACTAACTTGAAGCCACTTACTGTTAAAGACGATAACTTATATCCGCAGACTTGCAAAGTACAAACATGAACAGGCTTAACTTACCTCATTAGAGCGTGCAGCTGCATAGAGCACATCCAGGCCTAGCTTCAGTTGCTAGTGTGAGCGGCAGCAGAGCATCTTCTGGTCTGGCGGGTGGGCTTCGCTTTCTGCGTGACCGGAAAATTAACTCGTTATAACGAGAAAACGATTTTGTTTTCTCGTTATAACGA